AGAAGAAGAACAACAACAACAACAACATGAGCAAGAAAAAACAGAAGATATTGATAATAAATCTGATATAATTGAATAATATATTTAAATTCTTTTTTTCGTTTTTAATATTCTTATCTTTTTATTTCAATAAAGTTAATAGGGTAAAAGGGACAACATTCAACTGATTTAGGCGCTTTGTATGTCATGGGAAGCTTGAGCTTCGAAAAAAAACATAGTAAAAAAAAACTTTTTGAACTTTAATTTCGACGAGAAAAAAAATTCTCACAAGTTTTGTTCTCTTCAAATCTGTATCTTTTGCTTTTTTTTAATGAAATTTCCTAGGAGTTTTTTTTTGTTGAGAAAACAATCATATCGAATAAAATAACTTTCTTGAATTGTTTATCCAAACTGAGCTCCATGTATATATTCTTGTTATTATTTTTCTCTATCCTAACATACATTTAAACATAGTATTTATAAATGAACAGAAACAAAATCAAGTATTTTCTCAATTGAAAAGCATGTCAAAGATTTGTTCACAGAAAAACGGTTGTAAGATTTCTTTCTGATTTCGAAAATAAAAATTCCAATTTTAAACTGTTCCATCTGGCAAAAGTCTCCTTAACTTACAGTCAGAGCCTGACTCATACCAAAACTCATATTCATTCACACCTTCAGAAACACTTGATCGATCTCACATTCGTACACGCTGATGGCTTGAGCTTCTAGAATTCAGAAACTTCATTGATGGAGAGCCAGATAGCATAAATCTCTGATTGACTCATACAAAAATATCATAGATTGCTTTTATTCAACCAATCAGAGTGCAGATAAACATATTAGCATATGAAGACTTTTTTTTTCAAGATAATGAATAGGGTTTCAAGTCACATAGACAGAAAATTTAAACATCACTTTTCTGAATACCTATAGTGAAAATTCCTTTTCAAACTTGTTTTTTTTTTTATTAGGACTTTACCTTCATATAGACTTTCAAAACACATATAGCTCATCTTTGCATTCCATGTTCGAATTTCCCTAGAAAGCCTTTTAGTCGCAAAATTCAATTTCTATTGATTCTTATTCCATCAATAGGCTTCATTGGTAAATGTAGCTCAGATTCGAATTCCCCAGCTTGAATTACTCATAGAGATTAGTTTTTCGAAAAACCCGATTTCTATTGGTTCCTGTATCATCAATAGGGGTTCGAGGTAAATGGAGTTCAAATTCGAGTTTCTCGCCCCCTCCTCCCCCAAATCTATTAATGATTTTGATACAACTTGAAATAATAGCTTCTGTAACTTCGAAAAGTACCTTTAATTTTCGACCAATCCGACACCGTAAAAAACAGAAGCATTTTCATTCTGTCAAGTCATCCTTTCAAAATTAAGAAAAATGAAAAATGTATTTAAAATCGAATTTTATTTATTATCCGACATTTTGATAGTTTCATAGATCAATTTCGAGTGATAAAAATGAGGAGACATCATCGAGATAATATATTTATTCTCTGACCACTATGTAAATATTAAAAATAAAGTAATTCATAAAAATGGTTGTATCAAAAACTAAATTTAGTAAAAATGAAAATAGTGTATTTGAAATCAAAATTTATTCATTTAACGCCGTTTTCATCGAGTAAAGGCTTATTTTACAAGTAAGATGACGAAAATAGAAGATTAAAGCAGATTCTTTTTCTTCTTGTTATATAATGTTAGATAGAGCGTGACGAGTGGGTCAAGCATGTAATTTTTTCTTTTTTCTCGACTGAAATTTTCGAAGAGAAATTTATGTTTCTTCTGATGGTCTACTTTTTTTTCCGAAGAAAAGGTCAAATTTTGATAACCGACAAAGTCCAAATTTCTTTATGTTCCTTGAAAATTTGAACACTATTGGGTTCCGATTCAGGATAAAAAACTAAATCTAGAAAAGTCACTTTAAATGAGTTTCACAGATTCAGCTTTTCATGTTGACTCTTGAACAATAAGTTTGAGATGTGCAGAGAACAAAAAGAATCATAATTTTCCAATTATCGAAAATTGACCTGCTTGTTAGAGATCATCGGGAAAAACTGAAAGTTTTCTCCTAATCAGCTCAGTACGCTCTATCGGATCATATTTATGAAGAAGAAAAAATACTGATTTAGTTTTCTATTTCTGGAATCTTACTCGAAAATGCTTCTTTAGTTAACTGAAATGTCCTAAAATACAAAAAAAAGAGATTGATTTAAAATACACTGTTTTTCTTTACATTGGTTTCATTCTTTGATTTGTTTATTGAAGCATGAATTGTTTCAATACAGCTTGTGTCCAGAAAATATTTAAATGAGATCTTCTGATGATTTTCATAAGCTGAAAAAGAATATTATTATGGTGCTTTGGATGCTTTTAATACAGGTAATATTCCAAATCGAAACAACTTCTTCAGTGACATGAAAATTTTCTGTCTTTTTAAAGAATTTTTACGAAATTTATTAATTTTCTGTAATAATTGGAAGAGAAATACTTGATGCATTGATTTATTCAAAATTTATTTAATTATCTTGAAAGTTAACCAAGTAATTAGAGATAGTTTTTTGAGTAATTGAATTTGTCTTGATTAGGAGTAATGCTCCTAATAACGACAGGCCAAGTAAAATACATAGGAAATTAAATATTGTTAGTGAATGAAATGTTGTCTTTCTCACCGAATAAATGGTCCATTATGGTACAGAAATCACATAAAATTGATACGCTGGATAACCACTAGTTACAAATCGCAATATCTAGAAAGAGCAAATATTCAACTCGCTACACTAAAGTCCTTGGGACTTGTTAATTCAATAGTATATGGATACCAGAAATTCATTAAATGAATAATCTAATAGATATGTTTTGAGTCTCAATATTTGAATCATGAATATCATGACATCCCTCTAAAAATAAGTGACTGAAATTTTTACCAACGTTTCGCAAATAATCAAATATTCGACACCATATTGATAAAAGTTGACAATTGCAAAGTAACGATCAAATACAATTGGTAAGAATAAATTTGATCGAATTACATTTTTTAATCAGACAACTTGTTATTTTTCAGTAGACAGACTATTCATTTTCTAATATGTGCACAAATGACCTTTGTATCCACATTAGATTTGTATGAGTTCACGATAGAGGAACTGGATATGTATCATTCATTCAGTTCTTTCGAGAAAAAATGGAATGCGTAATGAGTTCTAGTTTTTTTCTTTTTTTTTGATGAATGGAACACACTCCTTCCAAGTTCACAGTTTTCTCCGAGGATCAACGAGTTGCAATAGAATATGATGAGCTATGAAGTATATCCTGTTGGATCTTTGAGTTTTTCTATACTTTCAGTTGAGATTGAGACTGAGTTCTGTTAATTTCCGGTTTCGGTACGATGACGTTTCGGTCTCAAATGCTGCTTCCATGTTTTTCGTTTTTTTCCTATTGGAATCAATAACACGAGATGCGCAACGCCAACAATTTATTAAAAACAGTTTAAATAACGTGAAAATATACGGCAAAAAAACAAACCGTTACGAATTTGTTTTAGGAATTTGTATATGTTAGATCAACTGTTCGTATCACGTGTAAAAAAAATGAGAGTACATATTTACATGAATAGAAATATGTAGTTTTTAAAGAATTCAAAATTGTTTCTTTTGAGAAAAAAATTTGTTGGCATTGCTGAGAAGAAAAAGAAAGAAACGAACTAAAGCCCGAAACGACTGAAAAAATCTTCCATCGATTCAATTCGACTTTCACTAAGAATAGATTTAATGTTACTGTTCTCGTACACCATATTTGATATACATGTTCTGCTTTTTTCTTCGTAAGATAATTATTCTACTGTTTTCATCAACTTATATATACGTGGTATATCTATACATATTTTATGCTCATTTAGTTCTATAATATCATCCGTATGTAAGAAAATAGATTGTACAGAATAAAATTACTCGGAGAACTTCTACGCCGATCTTTCCTAGAAATAAGACTGTATTTAATTCTTGAATAATCGATATTTCACAACATGAGTGCATGTCGTAAAATTGAACCAGCAAGAACTAACGGCTACGAAAATTAACCAAAACACTTAACAATAAAATCACAGAAGATCGTTTTTATTTTTATAATACTTCATTCAAAAGCAATAACCAAAACATTTGAAAAAGAATAAATGAGTAAGTATAATTAAATAGTATCGATATGAACTGATCAACATGTCGCTCTACTTATACATGTCTATGGTTAACAATGAATACATTATTTCTATGATGATATTTAATAAAACAAAAGACTCTCTCTACAGTTGTCAATAAATATAGATCAAGAAAGTGTTTAACTTATCAAAATAATCACTTGATTATATCATACATATTCGTTATTTGATTAAACGTTCATAGTTAACAAATGCATTTACAACAATTAGAGGAAGTCAATTACAACTTCTAAATAGATGTTGTGTTCTCTTGTATGTATTGCTCATGTAAATCAATCATCATTAACATGTAACGTTATTACATGATGGAACGAAAAAAAGCCAAATAAGACGTCTCAAACTTGATTTGATTCGACTGTTCTGCAGAAATTTTCCATTCGATTAGGTTTCGCGCTCTGAAACGAACAATATTGAGATTATCAGTTATTCATTGTTTGTTATAACATTCTATGAGATCAAACTATTCTAATAATGCAGTCATTCTTAGGGAAAGGATTCTTTCTAAGAATAATCTAATGAATGTAACTACACTAGATTACTAACTCTTCCTTGACGGCTACTCTCATTAAAAATTTGTTGTCAATTCATTTGATTGAGTACATATAATTTTTTTTTGTCATTGTTAAGATGATCTATTCTAAATGAAATGAAATGAAAAATATAAATATTTTATTAATCGAATACTCTTGAATAAAATAAAATCACACGATAAAATAAAATGTATTTCATTAAATAATTGTCTTATTGTTCAAATACAAAAGTCAATATCTTTTAAACTGGATAGTATAATATTAAAATCGAGTGAAATGTTCCGCTCCTAGTGATGATGGCAATGTATACTGTGCCAGCCTATAAGAAAAAGATAGTTCAAAATTGAAGTTATTACTATAGAAGCAATGTTCTTACTGTCTTGAAAAATAAACATAAGTACCAACAGCTAATCCAGTAGTTGCTGCCATACCACCACCTAAACCAAGACCTAAACCTAATTTTACTCGTGTTAATTCAGCTTCAAGTTCTTGACAGCTTGATGTCGATAAACTAACAGATGTTGTTGATATTGTTGATGTTATAGTTGGTGTTGCACAAGTTGTATTAGGACAATTTATCTCACATGTATAGCCTCTTTCACAGTCTATTTGATAACATTTATCAAAGCAGCGTGTAGTCGTCGTTGTCGTCGTAGCTAATAAAAATAGTCTATTTAAAATTATCAATCCTGAATGTCACGAAAATACCACATTTTTATATGATTAACTCGATAAAATAGTCGAAACTATTTAAACTTTGTATACTTATTTAAATATAACTGATTAAGGAATCAGTTAATTGCAAATGTTTTGTTTGTATCCTTGATGAGTTCAGTCCTCTATTATTTCTATTATCTAAGAGACTACTTATTTTCTTTTGAAGTGTAAGAACAAATAGTTTCATATAAGCTATTTATTGTGATTACGCATCACTTCCTCTTTAACCTTACTTGTAGATGTACTTGTAGTTGAAGTAGTACTAGTGCTGCTCGTTGAGGTGGTAGAAGTACTCGTAGTTGAAGTTGTAGTAGTGCTAGTAGTTGAAGTAATAGTAGTACTGCTAGTTGATGTACTAGTACTACTAGTAGAAGTTGAAGTACTTGTACTAGAACTTGATGTGCTAGTGCTCGTTGTACTCGTCGTTGATGTGCTACTACTAGTACTGCTAGTTGAGATACTTGAAGTTGAAGTCGAAGTGCTAGTACTACTACTGAAAGTTGTGGTCGAAGTACTAGTACTACTACTGGAAGTTGAGGTCGAAGTGCTAGTGCTATCAGTTCTCGTTGTTGAAGTACTAGTACTAGTACTGGAAGTAGAGGTACTATCAGTTGATGTCGAAGTACTAGTGCTAGCAGTGCTCGTTGTCGAAGTACTAGTGCTAGCAGTGCTTGTTGTCGAAGTACTAGTGCTAGCAGTGCTCGTTGTCGAAGTACTAGTACTGGAAGTTGAGGTACGATCAGTTAATGTCGAAGTGCTAGTTGTTGATGTTGAACTTGATGAAGTCGTAGTTGTCAATGTTGTTGTTGCTATTTTTAAAGAGTAAAACGAACATAAAATAATGCTGCTCAAGAACACATTAATAATTCAAATTTAAAAAAAAA